AGTTTTAATTGCAGGCTGCGTAGCGTTGGGGGAGGCTATTCTTCTTCCTTTCCTCTCTCGGTAAAATGTTCGCGCTCGCGAGCCAAAGACCCAACAAACCCGCGACTCGCTTCTTTCTCTTTTCTCGCCGCTAACTCTTTCGTCTCTTTCATTCCTTCCTTCATTCTCAACATGATATAGAGCGAGACGAGCAGACTAACAGACAGAGAGACAGACAAACAGACAGAGAGACAGACAAACAGACAGACAGACAGACAGACAGACTGACAGACAGATGGACGGACGGGCAGACAGGCAGATATCAGACAGTGAGAGTAAGAGAGAGAGAGAGAGAGAGAGAGAGAGAGAGAGTGCGCGCGCGCGTGTATGTGTGTGTATGAGAGATAGAGAGAGGATGGGGGGTGGGGGAGCGAGGAAAGACTGAAACGCGATAAAGGGAGAAGAGACGAAAGGATACGTATATAATAACAGAGCACGCTCGTCCGCGCGGTGTGCGTTTTTTTTTTAAAAAGAAAGATCGTTGGTTCTGTCCTTCCATTTGCTTATGTTCTTTCGTCTCGATCTAGGTGTCTTCGCTGACGTTAGCTGCTTCTCACTACCTTAGTACATTCGTTTATAATAATCGTATGTTGGTTTGTTTACACGAAATTGGAATTCGATGGAATTCCAAGTAGCCACGTACTCTATAACTAGAAAGTAAAATAGCCATTTTAGTTTTTAGTAGGTGATCAAAGATTACGGGCTTTGAGATTGCGCGCATACGGTAGGAGAAATTCTTTATTTCTCCGAATTCCCCAATTTTTACTATGAGCATTGCATGACGCCAGAACATTAAACACGGCGAATTGACTGCTTAAACATTGCGCTAAGAAATCTTACCCGTTTTTCATAATCCTTTCATCAATCAAATCATAAATTTGTACAGGGCACATAAAAATCCGACTGCAACGAGATACACGCCAGCCATTACCTTTCTTACAGCCATAAAAAAGGAATCGTACGTAAATACACTCCGGCGTCTTAATGCCTAGTGGTCGTGCCTCTTCTTTCTCCTCCTCTCTCTCTCTCTCTCTCTCTCTCTCTCTCTCTCTCACTCTCTCTCTCCTACCCATCCCACAACCGTACACCATCATCATCATAATCATCATCATCATAATCATCATCATCATAATCATCATCATCATAATCATCATCATTATAATCATCATCATCATCATCATCATCATCATCATGAACCTACTATCCCATACACATGGGTGTCCGCGCGCGCGCATCAATTTATAGTCGTCGCTTTTCGGGAAAACTCGCGACGATGGGGTCGAGCTGGGATAACCAGACGATTAGGCACTTGGCCGGATGTGCGCATCCATCTTAGCCCGAGGATGGAAGTCGTCGGCACGCGTCCTCGTGCTTACCCTCGGGCGAGCCCGGATTCTCCGCGAAAAGGCGGAAATTCATCGGGGCAGATGAGCACTCGGAGACAAGTTGGTCGAATCCGTGGCTGATTTGTCCCTCCCCCTACGCGGAAGTAAAACTCGAGGCAAGACTTTTCGCGGCAGCCAATCATCACGGTCTGTTAATTCGTTGATCGAAGCTGTTTCGACCTATTATTCAAATTCATTGGTAACATTATTTTATCTGGATATACTATTATTGTCTGGCATACTACCATCAACGCCAAGGAGTTTGAGCTTGAAGCGGCGACTGGAAAGAGCATCAATGATTAATTTAATTTTTGAGGTCGTGCTGAGCTCGCGTACGCATAGAAGATGAACTAATTGTAATTAGTTGTACTTCACTTTGCACTTTATGTCGAGGCAGCCTCATTTCTCACCTTTTACAACTTTGATGGAGTTTAATCATAACTCGGAGTATATATACTTTTATACTATATAGATATTTCATCAAAATTCGATAAAATCATGATTATTTCCATTTGATTCTTTGTCAAAATGTAGAATCAATCATATGATTAATTTTTACAGTTATATATATATATATATATGCAATTATTTAATTGTAAAATATAGAAAATTATTTTTTTTTTAAGATGTTTAAGAGTATAAATCCATAATAATAAATCCATACAATGTTTATATGAAGTACATGAAGAATAGTGATATGCCATTCAATGCATTCCCTCCTCAAATAAATTCACTTATTAATTACGCAACGTTATTGTATTAAGTTATATGAAGTTCTATAGAAAGATGAAATTGATAATGTGGTTTAAGCATTAATGGCTGCTCGTCGATTGGAAGTACTTTAACCATTATAATACATATAAAAAATTGCTTATTTCAAACTCCAAACTGTGCTCCAACGAGATACAATTTTATTATTATCATTATTAGTGTTACCACTCCCCCCTCAACTCCTCCCTCCAAAATAATACCATTAGCTTTAGCTTTAAGTTACAAACTTGTACAATTGATTAAAAGTTTGCGCCAAGTCGACGTCGAATAAAAGCCAAATAATGTTTAACGAGCGACGCATAGTGTAAGGCTGCGCCCTTTAAATTATTAACGCTTTGTAATAATACAAAGTTTTGAAAAACGTAATATCCTTGTGAATTGCGTAATTCGAAATTCGCTCTGCAGCGTAGACTTGTCTGTCTCTCACTTAAGTAATTTCATACTCCATTACCCGATACTACCTACGCTGATGAGCATCGCGATTACACCGTGAATGGGTAATCGAGCCTGAACTCCGTTCATTCTTCAAGAACATGAGGAACAAGAGGGAGGGATCAAACTTTTTTCACGGCGTTTTTTCCCAGTCGCCCGCGGTACTCCTCTTAGGGAATGATACTAGCGGCGAACGTAAATGGCAATCCTTTCCGTTCCCGTGCACCAACCGACGCAACATCGTCTTCTGGTAAATGAATGAATCAACGGCCCTC